TCACTGACTTCTTCAAAGCTCAGCTCAAATCTTACCTTCTTTAGGAGGCCTTTCTTGATCTCCCCAGTTGCTAATGCTTTCCCCTTTCAAATTATCTTAACATACTGTCTCTATCTTGTGTAGATACCTGAGTGTCTACATATTTGCATGTTCTCTCCTTCATTGGTTTGTATGTATGTATATGTATATATACACACATATATGCCCACACACACATGTACACACACACACACACACACACATATATGTATGTATAGTCCCTGAAAGCAGGTGGTTTTGGGGGGAGATGAAGGAGATTTGCCTTTCTTCATAGACCCACCACTTGGCACTGTAGCTAACACTTACTAAGGATTTAATAAATGCTTGCTGGCTTTTTTAGTTTTATTTAGTACCACTGCCCTTTTAAAATTCCACATTTTAGCCATTCCTCAACCTCAATACTCCATCATCTCTTCCTGTTAGAATCTTTGCCTTCCTTCAAGTCTCAACACAAGGGTCACCTTCTCCTGAAGCCTTCCCTGATCTGTCCAGTGGGTAGTGCTTTCTCTTTACTCAGTTTTCTTTGTAATAGATTTATTTGTGAAGGTGTTATATCTCCTACCCCCTCCACCTCCCATGTAAGCCCCTTGAAGGCAGAGACTGTTGCATCTTTATTTCTAAAACCCCTGCATATAGCACAGTGCCTGGCACACAGTCAGCGCTTAATAATATTTGCTCAATTGATCTATTCTTAATGATGCAGTGCTGGGTTTTTGTTGGGTTTTTTTTTTTTTGTGATCTCCACTTCCTTTTCAAAATGTTCTCTAACCATCCTAGTTCATACATTCTGGACTTCCATCCACCTATTAAAGTCAAGCTCACTGGCCTATGGTTTTGTGACTCCTCCTTCTCCTTCTTTTCTTTCTTCCCCTCTCCCTTCTTTTCTTCCATTTGACCCTTCCTGCTTCTCCATAATCTTTCAGAGATCACACGCCAAAGCTCAGCAGTCATATCTGCAGTCTCTCTCAGTGTCCTAGGATAAAGCTTACGTTCTGTCTTATACTCTTCTAGGGTAGTTAGGTACTCTCTTGGTATCTCCTTATCTACCTTGGGAGTCAACTCTCTATTAGCTCTTTGTGTTTGGTCCTTTCTGATCTAAAGAGCATCCTCTTTTATAGAGATAACAGAAGAGTTGAGTAGTTTTCCTGTCTCTCTGTCATCCCCCTGAGCAGTGGTCCTCTTCCTTCCTACCTTTCTCTTGTTATCCTGAGCATTCCTCCCCAGTCTTGACTTCTTCTGAGTTTTCACTCTACTCACACTATTCTTACAGCCTGATGCCTTGAGTTTGTTTCATATGCTGTTAACCACTTTGCTTCCATTGTTTACATGCCTGTTTAAAAGAAAAGCTGGTTGGTAAGTCCCCATCTATCCACAGTGGTCTTTTTAGACAACCCCCCTTTTTCCTCCTCTCAGGATTGCCTTCTCCTAAGTGTCTCCAGAATTGCATCCTGGACAGCTTTATGTCCTTCCTGGACCAACTTCCCTAGGAGAGTTTTAGTGCATGGGTTGCCCCTGATCCTTCCTCTGAACCCTTGGAAATCAGCTCCTACCAAATTTAGGGCACGTGGCAGGCTACAGTGACTTTCCTTCTCCCTATCACAAGTGCTGGAGAAAGTGAGAACCTCCTCCACGGTTCTCATCAACAACCAATTCCTACTTCTTGGTCAGAATCTGTTTCAGAACAACAGCTCCCCACATGACTGCCACCATCTTTGAAATTTTCTATTCACAAATCCAAGTCAAACCAACAAGCATTTATTAAACACTTGCTGTGTGCCAGACATTGTGCTAAGGGCTAGAGAAATAAAGAAAGGTAAAAATACAGCCCTGCCCTCACAGAGCTTACAATCTAACATGGGAGATAACATGGGCTTACAGGTGCAAACAACTATGTGCATACCTATACAAGGCAAACTGCAGGCAACCTCAGAAGGAAGTCACAGTAGAGGAGATAGGGAAAGGTCTCCTGCAGAAGGTGGAATTTGAGCCGATATTGAAGGAACCTGGGGAAGCTAGGAAGCAGAGAGGAGAAGAGGGAGAGCACTGCAGACACAGGAGACAGCCAGTGCAAAGGCATGAAGATGGGAGATGGGGTATCCTGTTTGAGGAACAGCAAGAAGGCAGATGTGGCTAGACTGTAGAATATGTAGAGAGAAAGTATGAAGATTAGAAAGGTAAGAAACAGAGTATAAAGAGCTTTAGAGGCCAAATGGAGGATTTGATGGGCAGCCACTAGGGTTTATTGAGTAGAAGAGTGGCACAGTCTAACATGTGCTTTGGAAGATTACTGTGGCAGCTGAATGGAAGATGATCTGGAGTAGGGAGATACTTGGGACCAACCAGCTGACTGCTGCAGTAGTACAGGCATAAGGTGATGAGGGCCTGCACCTGGGCAGTGGCTGTGAAGAAAAACAAATATTGAAAAGGTAGAAAAAACTTGGCAACAGATTGGATATGTGGGGTAAGAGTGAGGAGTCAAGGGTGACACTTGAGTTGTGATGCTAGATAAATGGGAGGATGTTAATGCCCTCAACAATAATGGAAGTTCAGAAGAAATGAGGGTTTAGGGGGACAGGTAATGAGTCCAGTTTTGGACATATTGAGTTTAAGATGTCTATGGGACATCCAGTTGGAGATGCCCAATAGGCAGTTGATGACGTGATTGGAGGTCAGTAAAGAAGGTTAAGACTTGGAAAACAAAATTCTGAGATTGAATCTGCCTAAAGATGGCAATTGAATCAATGGGAGTGAGAGGGAGAAGAGTGCCAAGGACCGACCTTTGGAGGATATACACAGTTAGTAAATGTGACCTGGATAAAGATCCAGCAAAGGAGAATGAGGAGTCATCACACAGTTAGAAGGGGAATAAGGGGAAAGCAGTGTCACAAAAATCCAGAGAGCAAGAGCTTCCAGGAGAAGAGGGTGATCAATAATGTCAGAGGCTAAGAGAGGCCAAGAAGGATGAGGACTGAGAAAAGACTTTTAGATCTAGCAATTAAGAGATGATGAGTAACTCTGGAGAGAGTCATTGGTGCTGTTATTATCCCCTTTTTATAGGTGAGGAAACCAAGGCAAAGAGAAGTTAAGGGGCTTATCCAGGGTCACACAGCTAGTAAGTGTCTGAGGGCAGATTTAAATTCAGGTCTGTTCGGACTCCAGGCCAGGTGAACTATATACCGTACCACCTTGCTGTTAAATGCTTATTATGCCCAAGGCACTGGGCTGAGTGCTGAGGATATAAAGAGAGACAAAAACATGATCCCTTCCCACAAGGGATTCTAATGGAGGAGACAAGATACATACAGGATCTGTTCTGGGTAAATGGGAAGTAATCTCAGAGGGAAGGGGATGGGGTGGGATGGGGTGGGGTGCAAACAGGAGGGGGAGGATGATGCCAAAGTGGTGAGCATTCATTCTGACTCTTCTTAGCAGGTTTCCCTCCTTGGGGGCCCATGTCCCTATGGAGGTGTTTTGTTCCTAAGATCTCATCACCACATTTTTTGAGATCTTAGGACTACGCTACTGACCTCAGGGGTGCAGTCACGGCCTTTTCCCTAACTGGGGGACTTCTGAAGGGCATTTTACCTTTGAGCTTCATTTCACTACCCATGGGGTACACTCTTCAGCCTGGCCTACTGTGCATGCAGCCTGGATGACTGGGACATTCTCCCCTCACAGGGCTGGCTGTACCATACATATGAAACTCTTTGCTTACCTAGTGTTGGAATAGATGCAGCCACAAGCCTGCTTCCTGACAGGCGGTCCAACCTAATAGTTAAAGATCCCATTCTGAAGGTGTTCATGTTCTAATAGAGGGCAATATAACATGTACTCAAGTAAGACATGAAGGGATGTAATAGAACAGAGAACTGTGAGATATTTGCTGAAGGAGAAGTCACTTTCACCGAGGGGTGCTAGGGAAGGCCTCAAAAAAGACTTGGTGATTTGAGGTGAGCCTCAAAGATCTCAACAGATGGAAATGAAAAGGTGAGGTGGGCAAAGGCATGGATCTAAGAAAAAGGAGGGCAAGAACAGGGAACATGGACTAGGCCACTTTGGCTAAAATGAAAAAATATACAAAGGGGGGAAATAGGATAAAACTGGACAGGTAGGTAGGAATCAGACTGAGAGGACAGGGAAAAGAGTTTAAACTTTAGTAAAAAATGGGGTGTCAATAAGTTTTGAAATAGGACTGCTGTGACCATCGCAATGTGTTAGGCAGATTACTTCAGCCATTGGCATGCAGAACGCATTGCACAGGGAACAGACAGAGACAGACCAGTTAGGAGGATATTACAATAATCTAGGTGAGATAAGGACCTGACTTAGTCATTTAACATTTATTAAGCACTTACTGTGTGCCAAACACGTGCTAACAATGGAGAGGAGGGAACAAGTTTGAGTCATTGCTAAGATAGAAATGCCAGGACTTGATAACTGATGGAATGTGGGGTGTGATGGGAAAGAAAGAGTCAAAAGTGACTGATAGCATAATCGTGGAAGACTGAAAGGACAATGGTGCTTTCAACAGAAGCAGGAATTGGGGGGAAGGGCTATTTTAGGGGAAGCCAAAGTCAGTTTTAGACACATGAGATGTTGGAGGTGTTGGTGGTCCACCCTGGATGGAGCTGTCCAGCAGGCAGGTAGAATTTTAGTTCCCATTGCTGACTTCCCCCAGTCTCCTCTTCAGGCTTAGATATCCAAGTTTAAATTCCAGACTCATGTCCAGCCCTTGGAAACCTCCTGCCAGCCTTAGGCCCCTGTCACTTCCAGAGCTCCTCAGGCAGAAGTTCTACCTAACAGCACAGGCCTGGCTCAAACCAGCCCACTGAGACTAGGGGAAGGGCTGCTACCAGAAATCCAGTCTGTGGCCAGGGATGGCCAGATGGATGGGGCCGGAGAGCAGGCTATGAAGGCCAGCCCAGCCCCACATTCACTGTGTTCTCTGACTGATCTTACAGGGGGAGCAGACAAACAGCAGATGGACGCGGAGTTACGGAAGGAGATGATGGCCATTTGGCCCAACCTTTCACAAAAGACACTTGACCTCCTCGTCACCCCCCACAAATGTAAGAATGATTCCCAATACTTCCTCCAGGCCCCAGGAGAAGAGCAGCCTCTACCGTGAGGCCCTAGACCAGCTCCTTATTCTGGGGTAGGAGTTTTGGAGAAAGCTCCTGGGCTAATGTTGTAAAGTCTGCAAAGAAAGAAGGATGGGGTGGGGAAACCATGCTGGAGGGAAGAATGGTCAGGGAGACAGCTGGCAGGTTCCTCCAGGTTTGAAGAGGGTGGAGGCATGGTGGGAACAAAGGACAGATGCAGCCACACACCTGCCTCTTAAGAGGCAGTACAAACTAATGGTTAAAGCAGTGACCTAGAAGGCAGGCCCTGACCCCCGATGAAGTAATCTCGAAAGCACCTTCTAGCCCTAACACTCTGTGAGGCAGCAGAGGACAGAGGGAGGCATCAGGGATAGAGGAAAAATGACTAGATTTGGAGTAAAAGAACCTGGGTTCAAATCCCAGCTCAGTTACTTACCTTTCTCTTCTGGCCCACTACCTCCCATTCCTATGATTCTCCTTGGGCCCCAAGTTCCCTTCTGAAATAGGCTTGGGTGCTTCAGAAAGGCAAAGAGATACTGGCTGGAACTGGGTTGGAGATCTGCGCTGGGTCTCTCTCACATGGAGCCTGCCTGTCCCATTTGCCCACAGCTACAGACTTGACAGTGGGCAAGATATACGCAGCCATGATGATCATGGAGTATTACCGACAGAGCAAGGCAAAGAAGTTACAGGCCCTGAGGGAGGAGCAGGCAAGTATAGACCCAGACTGCTACAGCCTGGCCCAGCTTCACCACAAAGGGGAAGTCTAACTGGGGCCCATCAGCCAGAGGCCAGAGAGGGCCTGGGCTATCTCTGTCTCCTTGTTCATCTAGAAGGGGAAGAAGAGGGAGGCTCCACTGGTGTCCCAGACTTTGTCCATCCCCTTGCCTTGCTATGAGGCTGTTCAAAGAGGCGCTTCCACACCCTCCTTTGGCTAATCTTCTTTTCTCCCTAAACACGGCTTCTGGGAGTTCCCTAGGTATCTTACCTGGGTTTCCCTTATTAGCCATTCCTCATAATTTTTTTCTACTGTATATTTACTGAAGTTGGAAAACAGAAAGTACTGATCTCCTTATAAAAACGAACTCTCACGTTCTAGGAGAGTGACATTAAGTATCCTTCCTCAGCCATCTCCAGACTCAGAAATACAAACTCCTTTAACTTTATTCAGCCTTTCTTTGAGGAAAGGTCCTCCTGCAGTTTCTGCCACCCCTTCCCAAGCCAGAGAAGCCTCCCTGAGATCATATATTTCTCAGCTTCTCTGTGCCTCAGGTTTCTTCTTCAAACAGAGGAGTGATTCTGCCCCTGCCCACTCCTACTTTTCTACACTTTCTTCTCTTCCCTTCTCCCTCTTTTCCTCCTCCCTTGTCCCTTACCCTCTTCCTCATCCTTCTCTCTTTTCACCTGTGAGCCTCCAAGCCCCACGTCTTGGTTATTTCATAATCACAGACACCCAACTGAGATACCAGGCTGGCCTTATTTCCCTCTGAATTATCATCTGTTCCTACAGAACCGGACACCACTGATGTTTCAGCGCATGGAGCCACCATCCCCGACTCAGGAGGGTGGCCCTGGTCAGAATGCCCTCCCATCTTCCCAACTGGAACAAGGAGGACTGTAAGTATGGCCCAGAGTGATCACAGTAGGCACCCCCTCTCCCACACTTCTGACACTCTGCTTTTTGAAAGAATGAATGAAAAAAAAAAAGCTTACTATGTACCAAGCACTGTGCTAAGCAACTGATACAAATAGAAAGGCAGAACAGTCCCTGTGCTTAAGGAGTTCTCATTCTAATTAGGGGAGACAACACATATGGGAGGATCCAGCTGTAGGGTATATGGAAAAAAACCTTGTTTCTGGGAGTGCAACAGTTGGTGAGATGACAATGCCAAAAAGGGAGTCAGTACTGCCCAGCCAAACAAAGAGTGTAGAGGCATTTGGTAAGGCCCAGTGGTCCTCTATCTTGCCAAAAAGACGTGGCTGGTGACTTCACGTCTCATCCAAACAATGTGAGTGACCATGACTACCCAGTAGGAGGCATGCATTTCAAGGACCATGGCCCACATTGGGAGCAAGCCCAAGGGAGTGGGAACACTGAGTTCCCTCTTCAAGGGATAGGGATGAGAGTGGGGAAAGGGATTGGTAGTTTGAGGGGAAGGGCTCCCTACTGTGCTTGTCCCTGCTGGTCCCCGAGCACTTAAATGAGATCATCCTATTGAGAGGCCAGGAGGGTGCCTTGCTCTCAGGGGAAGTGGGTGCAGAGGAGTAGGCCAAGGGACCACCCTGCCATTTTCATTTCAGTTTAGCAAACATTTGCAGAGCATCCACACAGAGCTGAAGATCCTGCTCTCCAGGACCTCACATTCTTGGAGAGGGAATAAGACACAGATTTCTAATTTCTTAACCAAATTATGGGATGTTTAGGAGAGGTATAGGCACAGGGGGAGGAGGGACTTACTGCTTATTTCTCTGTCCCACCTTTGCAGTCTGGCCCATGAAGGTGGCATGAAGGAGAGTCCATCTTGGGTGACCCAGCGTGCCCAGGAGATGTTCCAGAAGACAGGGACGTGGAGCCCTGAACGAGGACCTCCTGATGATTTGCCCAACAGCCGACCCAGCTCTCAGGTACTTATGTTCTCGTGCCCAAATAGGGCCCACAAAGGATCAAGTCTTGCTTGCTAATTCCTACTTCACTTAGGGAAAGGAAGGGCACTGAGCCAAGGAGGAAGCAAAGTGAGAGGAATAGGATGAGAAAGGGTCAGTGAAGAGAGAAGAAACAAAGTATGAAACTGACTCCCTCCCTAATAGCCCAAGCCTAAAGAATAACACAGCCTCAGGGGCCACTCTCTGTCCACTCCTAGCCTCTCTTGGCCTGGATGAAGACAAAACTATTTTTCAAAGTGGGGCTTTAGTAGGTAAGCAAGGAAGGGAAAAGTAAAAACAGAAACATGTCCAGAGGATAGAGCTCTTATCCTAACATAGCTAGACGTAGCTACACGCAGACACAGCTTGGCTTGGCTGGCACACAGCTTTTAGAGTGACTGCCTCTGACGCTATATACCACAGTATCTGCAGAAAAATTACAAATCCTCCCCTCTCCATAGGGCTTTCTTTAAAATAACCTGATGGGGGGCAGGGGGGCAGCTAGATGGCGCGGTGGATAGAGCACCAGCCCTGGAGTCAGGAGGACCTGAGTTCAAATCCAGCTTCAGACACATGACACTCACTAGCTGTGTGACCCTGGACAAGTCACTTAATCCCAATTGCCTCACAGAAAAATGAAAATAAAATAAAATAAAATAACCTGATGAGGTAGGTATTGAATTATTCCCATTTTATAGATAAGGCAACTGTGGCTCAGAGAGGTAACAGAATAGAATCAGGGTCCCAGAGCTTCTCGAGTCTCTCTCTCTGGAGTCCAGGGCTCTGTCTACAGCAGCACACCTATCAGAGGTGGTTCTGCATTGGGTGGTGTCCAGAGAGCACTGGATCTAGCCAGAGTTGCAAGACCTGGGTTCAAAACCCTGCTTTACTACTCCCTAGCAATGTGGCCTTAAGCAAGTCATAACCTCTCTGGTCTTTAGCATCCCCCTCTAAATCCTGTGGTCTTAAAATCAGTCAGACCCACAAAGAGTTCTCTCTACCACTCTTAAGGTCTTTGTAGCTCTAGCTACCAAGGAGTCCATCCTTCCCCTCTGACCCATGTCTCTCTGTCCTAGGCTGTTTATCTAAAACATATTAATGAGCTGTTTGTTAATACCAACTCAACATTCTTTGCTCCATCATCTCCTGTTATAAACACCTAGGTCTAGCTACTATAGGGAGCCTTTATAGTTTCCAACCCTGACCCAGCACCCTGGAGACAGACAAGCTGCCTTCTTTCCCTTCCTGTTCCAAAGCCATTTGCTGACAACCTATCTCCAGGTCTGAGTTCTATCTGTGGTTCTCAGAAAGCATCCTACTATAGTGGAAAGGGCACAGAGAGAAACTGGGCTTGAGTCCTGGCTATGCTACTTACTGCCTCTGTTTCCCCATCTGTAAAATAAAGGGGTTGGACCAGAAGATCCCAAAGGTCCTTCCAGTTCTAAATACTGTAATAATTTGCAGCATAGAGGCATAAGACATACCTTTAATCCAATGAGCGATACTGCTATTTTAAGAAAAGGTCATCAGGGGGCAGCTACGTGGTGCAGTAGATAAAGCACCGGCCCTGAAGTCAGAAGGACCTGAGTTCAAAAACAGCCTTAGACCAAACACTTGACACTTTCTAGCTGTGTGACCCTGGGCAAGTCACTTAACCCCAATTGCCCCCCCCAAAAAAAAAAAAACAAAACAAAACAAACAAAAAAAAAAAAAGAAAAAGTCATCAGCCCACCCCATCTCCCCAAGTTCCCTTTGATGACATATCTCAGGTGCCAGACAAATCCCAGGGGAAGGATTTCCCGTAAAACTTGAATTGTGATTTTATAAAATCATAAATACTTTATAGTCAAGGATGACCCACATTGCTAGTCACAGTAAGATAAGGGTTTCACTTCCTCAAAGAGAGAACAATGACAGAAGTCAGCAGCCTCCCTTGGCTTCTTTTGCCAGGGAGAAAGTGGACTGTCACTTTCCAAGCTAAGGGACAAAAAAAACAATGTGAAGGGCAAGGGGACATGGGGGTGGGGGTGGGCAGAAGGTGGCAAAAAGAAAAATCAAGAACAAGCAAGACTGTCTCATATCCCTTTCTGTTTGGTTTCTCACAGTCCTTTTTACTGAGTTAGCACAGATCCCCTTTTCTCCCCCTGGGCAGGGAAGGCAAGTGAGACATGGGCCACCAGGCCAAAGAGCTAAAATGGGATGGCCAGTCAATCTACTGATGCTAAGCCTACCACCTCAGGGCCAGTCCAAAGATGTTAAGACTATGAAGTAATTTAGAATTCTCTTTCCCCAACCCCAGCCCTAAAGTAGTCAGGAAAGAAGAGAACTGAAAGTAAGGTCTACAGTGTAGACCTAACATTATTTATTAGACGTATTAATTAATCGAAGTGTAACAACTGACTAGGAAAGCCTGTGGTAAAGCCCATGGGAGCTAAACATTTTCACACGGCATGCGAATCACTTATAAAGTATTCACCACATGAGCATCCATCTGCTAGGCTGATTGGCCAGTAGGATAGGAGAAGCCAGAGCTAGTGCCCAGGACTCCTGGTTCTGCTTTGGGATCCTCTTGGCTCCACACGCTTCAAGCCTCAGGCTCACCCACCCCCTTGCTGTGTCCCCTGCAGTCTGTGGAGATGAGAGAGATGGGGAAGGACGGCTACTCAGACAGCGACCACTACCTCCCTATGGAAGGGCAGGGCAGAGCCACCTCCATGCCCCGGCTCCCAGCTGAAAACCAGGTGAGGGGCTTTCATCGGAACCTTCCAAGGGGGCAGGTGAGCCCACAGAGGGCCCTCTCCCCCAGAGAGCAGCTGTTGCCTAAGGAGGCTTCCAATTCTGCTCTGTAGCCTCAACCCCAGAGGGGTGGGGTATATTCCCCCCAGATTTTGTACTTTTGAAAGATATACCTTCCCTTTCTGGGGAGTATAGGTCATCATTTATTAAGTGTTCCATGGTGTAGGGAGTTGGGGATAGGGATAAGGAGCTGAATACAGAGGAACTGAAGAAAAACATGAAGAAAAACACTGAAGAAAAAACTCTACCTGAGAGGTACAGACAGCATCCTGGCTACTTGGGATAAGGCCAGGCTAGCTTGGATAGATAGAGGAGAAAGATGTTGCAGATTCCTTAGGAGTTTGGAGAGCTTTTCCCCAAGGCCAGAGGCTTCAGGGGGTGGAGCCAGTCAGGAGACCGCTCAGAAATCTCTTCATTGGGACTTTGCTCTACCCCCCACCACAATATCTACATATACACGTGTGTATGAATAGATACATACATACATACATATTTGATAGCTAATGCAGAGAGCTAATGGAGATGAGCTGGAGCATTAATAACGGAAATCTATTCATCCTTGGATCCAGTTTTGTTCTGTTTTTGTTGGCTTAGTATACAACATTGGATCTTCCTTAGTTGGTAACTGGATTAGGCTAACTTTGAATGAGTTTGGGTCCCCAATGTCTATGTTGGCATCTGGCCCATTGCTTGGGTTAGAGAGGGGTGGCAAGAAAGGGGAGAAATTCAATATTGGCAAAGAAGAGCTTACAAAGAAGAAATGATTAGTTGTTTCTGGGACTGTCTAAAATACAAGTCCCTTGGATCTATTCCCTCTATGGCCTTCTCCAAGAAAGCCCTTTCATCATGCCCAGCAAGTCTGAGCTCTGTTACTTCCCTGAAGTGGGGAGAGACCTTCATTAAGCTAGAGAGGCTAGACCCTTCCCAAGGAGCCAGAACATGAGAAAGTGTCTGAAGGATAAGGGTGGTGACAGCTCCCTTTGTAAATCCTTCTACATTGTCAACACAATTAAAGCCTGCTGCCATTTTGGCTGGGGGAAGGTGGCGGATTGGGGATTCAGGTTGGAGGCAGGACTCCTGGGGGTGCCATTGTCAGCTTTACTGCTCCTACATGGGGCCTCAGTTACTCCAAACCCTTCTATACTTCCTGCCTATTAGTACTGAGGCCTAGCGCCCTACACATTTCACACCCAGGAAGGTGGGTGAAATTGAGACTACAGGTAATATATCACTTTTAACTTGGAGAAGAAAGGGAGGGAGCTTTTTTGTGAGCACTAAAAATCAATGGAGTAGTGAATGTGAGATAAAGGCAGTGATGGGAGAAGACTGACCTTACTCGTCTTCTAGTCACTTTGGAAAAACAATGGATTGTTCTTGCAGCTGGACTAAAAGGCAAGACTTAGGGAGATCAGTTTGATTCAACAATATAACAAATATTAAGTGCCTTCTCTGTGCAGAGCACATAGTGGGAGTGACCAGCTCTCCCATTCCAAGGGTTAAGGGTGGGATGTGGCATGTGTGGGTGATGACATGGGTACCCCTTAAAATGCATTGGCTTTTTTGATGTTCAATCCAAACGGACACAGGTGAGAATGTGGAAGGATAAGGGGATCCATGCCTCACTCCCAGGAATTGGTCTGCTAAAGGGAACTTGGCCTTGGAACACCGAGGCCCTAACAGACAGATGGACAGACAGTGGACAGATTCCATCAGGCTTCCGGTGCCGCATGAGCATGCTCCTGGCCTAGGGCAACCTCAGTATGTCTACAGCAAGGGCCAATCCCAGCATGGCAGAGGTTCATGTGAACTGTAATTTTCATCCTGATAAAGCTGAGACTTTGGGAGGGGCCTTGGTGTGAGTGTGCATATCCATGCACATGTGGATGTATGTGCATGTGTGTGTGCTGACTTCTAAGTGGTTGATTCTTGAGCTGCATTACCAACCTGTCAGCTTTTCCTCTATCCATGTTGTAAGATGTGTGTGTGTATGTGTGTGTGGGTGTGCACAGCAGGGGATGGGAAGGGAATTCTGACTCCATGGTGTTGATTATTTTGCCCAGCAGTCAAAGCTGTACCTCCCCCATTCTTAGGTGGCCTCCTCCTGTGACTGAGCTTCATCCTGGGGGTAGTGTGGGGAAAGATGGTGTTAGCAAAACCCTCCAAGTTCAGGCAAATGTCTGTCACAATAGTCAGGAATTGAGAGCTAAACTTGTGTCTGATATGGCTTGACCCTTCGAAAGCTGATGGATGGATGGATGGATGGATGGATGGATGGATGGATGGATGGATGGA